TGTTGATAAAAATGTAAGTGAACACAAACATGAACCTATTATTGGTATGTGTGTAATGCATCTTCTCGTAACAATGCCTGTTCACTACACGGATTTAAAAAGAGCTCTTAAAAGGGTTGAAAAAAATAGACAATTAAATATATTATAAAGGAAACATAATTTTCTTAAAACAAATTTGCCGTAGTAGGCCTTTAGTGGGAACCAAAATTACCTAATTGTAAAATTACCATCTGAAACAAAGTTGTATCATTTAGCTCAACAATAGTTATGCCATCAAAAAGTGGTTTTCGTTTTATTCTCTACCCATCTAACAGAACTAACAATTTATACTTGCCCCTTAAAAATGCACCTGAGACGTGAAAAAAATTGTTTTTTTTTTTGTTTTGGTCAATTACTTTAACCTTTAACTAAACTGTTCAATAGTCCCTTTGTGCACTTTACAATGCTTAAATGGCAAGTTTGTTGTTGCAAATGATGTTCTGTTAATAGCGAAAATCCCTATATTTTTTATTAATGTCGGCTGTCAAGCCACCAAGCTAAGTGTGAAGCAGTCATGGCATTCTTAGATTCACTGTTTACTTAGAACTCTTTAGTACACTTTTAGGAATAGAGTTCTTACCCTTCATGTTACAATGCTCTTTATTTGTCCACTACTTAAGGGCAAATGTAAATTATTTGCTGATGTTGCTTTTGAGCCAAAACTATTGAAGAAAGACAATGACTGCACAACTGTTATCAAAATGTGTAGGTATGAATTTTCCAAATGTGATTATATGGCATATGTTACATCTGTTACATTACTGTGCCAGACTCTAGTATTTTCAGCCGGAGGGTAATCTGACCAAGCCGCAATGTCGAGAGCAATTTAATGATGCTGACGACATTGAGTTGGCAACTGAGGAATCAGAATGTAACCTCTCATTATCTGGCTGAGAGTCGGTGGTCGAATATGGATGAGCAGAGGAAGAGGTGGCAGTTATCACCACCCTCCCAGTTGTGCTACACATCTATTAGCGATACATTGTCATCCTTAACAACAGTGCCACCGCTGTTGTCACGCCAATTATCAACCGCTTATGCTGCGACAGGGGAGGTATATGTGAATGTGAATGCCGATGTGGAGGCGAATAAGGGGGATGTGGATATGAATATCGGGGTGATGATGGCAAAGCTGGAGGAACAGAGCCGCACATTCTCATGTTCAAAATTCCCTGGTAAATGACTGCCTTTGAGCAACCATGTGAATGTTCGCTCGGCTGAGGAAGTGTTCTTGTGCAAAGCTCTAGTATTTTCATCACTACACGTAGAAGCAAGCCAGCCAGTCAGGCAGTCATTCCGTCGGTCTGTCAGTCAGTCAGCTAGCTGACCAGTTGGGGGAAGAGAGAAAAAAATGAGTCAGTGATAGAGTAAAAGAGAATAGATGGCAGGATTCGAAAATGAATACCTAAATAAAGGTCTGGAATGAAGGAGTTGTTGATGTTACGCCTACTGTTACTACTATGAGGTGTAGCTAGTCAACGCTTGCAGAATGGGCGTGTGGATAGATAGATGAGTGAGGGAATGGAGGATGTGAAGAGAGTAGACATAGTTGTGTAGATAGGTAGATCATGCGGTGGGTGGGTGGATGATGCGGACAAGGAAACCAGTGCTTGTCTTGACACTTCAGCTTAAGCCTCATTTACTGCACATCTCTTCTCCTAGCCGCTAATCCACAACTCTCGACTCTCCCACCTCTTTCAGTAAGTTTGCACTCTTCCCCTTTCCTTTTTACTGTTCTAATACTTTTCTC